TCAATGCATAATTAGTTTGTTTATGTTCTACATTGCTCGTACCCGACTTTGTGTTAAGTAAGAAGTATGTATTAAAAGAAATGAAATATTTGTGAAAGAATCTTTATGAAAGAATATAGAGTGTGTCACTGAAAGGAACCTATACTTGATAGGCTTGTTTAATAGTTGCTAACGCAAACAAATGCTACGTTTCAGCAACCAATTAGGATTGACATACGCACTCTACGTCACTTGCAGGTATTCCATTGAATCTAATTTAAATCTCATAGTAAGGCATAATCACTTCACGTCTTCTCGAGTTTCAAGCTCACAATTCTGGTTTTTCATCATTTAGAATATGATATCAGTGATGTTTTCTAGATTGCAGCCCTTATTAAATTTTTGCTGTTTCCTTGTTCATTATTTATCATTATGTTTGGTAAGCATGGGCAAAGTCAACTTTGGTGAACGTCAATAGATTAACAGCTGGGAACACCATCTGGAAGCACGTGTTATGTTTTGTAAACGTGTTTTAATAATTCCAAATAACGTAGAGTCAACAGTCATTGAAATAAAAAAGAAGTTTTGAACTAAAGTGCAAATTCATCGGGAAAACTTAATTGTGGTAAATATTTATCAGGTGTTAGCAATGATCAAGAGCATTAATTTTGACTCCCAGTTGATGAGTTGATTTTTTTAAAAAATATTACAATGTAAAGCCATTGGAGGCAACATACAATAATAAAAAAAAAGATTAAAATTTTTTAATTCTTTTTTTATTTGGATCAGTTTTTGCAGTTTCGGTTTTTGCAAGAGTAGATTGATTTTTACCCCTTGTCAAAAATAATGAGTTTTTAAACTGTTTAAAATAAAAGAAACTTTAAAAATGATATTTATATCAAATTTAAATCGATAAATGAAATTTATTTAAGTTAGTGATGCATATTTGTAACCATTTCTAGATAAGAACATTGAGAATCAATAAGTTATTTTTATTGAGGGGTTAATAATTGATGCAATGATTCTTTAAATATTTTATTTACAAGTGCTCAGTGCAAAGTTATATAATTTCTCAGTGCTAAATAAACACGAGTTCAGTGTAAAACAAAGTGCTCAGTGCAAAATAATATGAAGCACTCACTGAAAAACAATTAATAGTGCTTGGTGAAAATATAAAAAAAATATGCCTAATAAAAAATAGTGCGTGGAGTCCCTCCGCGCGGAAGAAGTGAAACTTCGTAATGTGGAAATGAAGACAAACTTTATGGTTTTAAAATTATGGTTTTTCTTTAAGACAAACTTTATTAACATTGCTTACAATTCACAATTGATCGCATCTTTTAATTATCATTTTCGAGTGGAGAAATATCTAAATATATAACATTTACAATATGATAACTAAAGTAAGATACGAAATGTTTGAGTTCTATTTTTTTTAAATATTTCTTGCAAAAACTGCATCAATGGTAGTTCTCCCTTTGGTTGTTGGATCATTCCTACCATTTATCATTTCCAATCCAAATTTGTCTTTAAGGAAGGTTAATAATGTTTCAGCTTCAGGTAACGAGAAATTCACATTAAAATCTCCTGCAAGGATCACAGGCCACTCGTTGCCATGGTAGCGTTAAACGTTTAACGCAACCTTGTTGGAAGTCGCATTAGAAGTTTCACTTCAAAAAAATTAAATAAGTCCAACATAAAAATCAACTAAGTTCTGAAAATGTGAGAATTTTTAGAATCATTGCTAAAAAGAGGGCGCAGAAACAACTTTTGTGTCTGTCTTTAAAATTAAAAATGCTGTGTACTCAATTCGATGCTTGATAAGAGCTCAGAATTATAAAATTTCAAAGAGTGGAAAATATAAAAATTATTTTTATTAAATTGTGAGCAATGCATTTTTATGCAATTTTTGTGAGCAATGCATTTTTATTAGCTTTCTTTTAAAGAGATTTGGATATTAATGGTTCAGAAAAAGTTCTTAGAAATTGACGAAGTCATTCTAAAATGCTTTCTTTAAGAGTGCTAAGTAAGAAAAAAGCGAGTTTATTTTAAAACAATAAAAAAGTACAAGAGGAAATACAATGAAAGTACTCAGCGCAAACAATATATGCTTAATATACCCGTAAAACTAAATAAACCCGTAAGAGCTTTTAAAACTGTAAACCGGAACCATGGGCAATAATTCTTACAACATACTTTTACTCAACAAAGTTGATCGGTGTTTTATAAATACTATAACTTAAAACATCCTTTAGTTTCCCAAGTAGAATTTTTCTAAGATTTGCAGTAAAATAATTAATAAGAACAATTTTATCTAATTTGCTTTTAGCTTGTATAAGTGGGACATCAGCAACAATCATAATTTTCCCTAAGTTAGTCACACTAAAATCCAGCATACTGGGTATATTAACCTTAACTGTAGTTGAGATTTTGGCAGCAAGTCTTGCATCATCCACAAGAGCAACAATGTTGAAAACAGATATTGTATTTCCGTTGTGCGATTCAGCGCTGTAAGAAAACCTCAGCTTCTGTTGAAATTCAAGAGGACAGGTGAATGTTATATTTGTTGACCTCAAAAATGGTTGAGTGCAGTTCTGAGTACGTTTGATTTCGGTTAAATGTTCTAGATAGCCATTGTTAAGTTCCACGTAGTTGTTCTTTTCGTTCGAAATATGTGCATTGTCTATTCGATCGTTTGGGAGGAAGTATGGTTCCAATTTGCTGTAGTGTGCTTCAAAAATAAATCGGTTTCTTAGAACGGTGTCAATGTAATTGTTGGGAGCTTCCTTTGGGTGTACTAGCTCCCCTGAAATTAAATATTAAATGCAGGAAATTAATAACATAAACACAAATAGTAGACAAAAGAAAAGAGAACTAAATTCCTGAAAAACTTTCTATTTCGCTACAGAGTTTCGCCGCTCATTATACTTAAGCAAGAACATTACAGTTTATCTAGTGATCGCAATGTCATTCACATTTGTTAAAACTTTCAGATTTATATTCAGAATTTTCATCATTATGAACACAAGGTAAAAGAGCAGCGATGGCTCAGGGGATAGAGCATCCGCCTTCCAATGAGGGGAACCGGGTTCGAATCCCAGCGATGGCTGGTTGATACGAATCGAATTCCGCGTCCGGTTTCAACCGACCCACAGTGCTGCCGTGAAATATCCTCAGTGGTAAACGGATCATGGGTCAAAATCTCCTTGTCGTCAGACTAACCGTGGGAGGTTTCCGTGGTCTTCCTCCCCATGAAACGCAAATGTGGGTTAGTTCCATCAAAAAAGTTCTCCACGAAGACAAATTTTTCCCAATACTTGTTCCTGAAGTTCCCTTGTCTTCTGGATTGGGTTCAAAATTACAAGACTACGGAGTTGAACATTAATAGTCCTAAACCCAAAAATTGGGCTGGCTGCTCAACGACGGTTATAATTATGATATGATCACAGGGTAGTTTTATGCAAATGAACTAATACGTAGTAGTGTTGTCGTTAGAGGGATAGTGTTCATACATTAAAAAAGATAAAATTGATTGATGATTGAGATGATTTGGAACCTTTATTTCGTGCACATTGATGCACATTTTCGTGCACACTAAAAACTATTCGTAAAAAGAATAGTCGTCTCAAAATTGCACAATTTTCCCACTCTTCACACTTTTCCTTCTCCATTACCATGATTTCTTCTACTTTTGCTTTTCCTCTTTGGACAGTACGTTTTATTTGGAATATACTTGCGTGAGGAATAAAGCAAGCAATAATAACTGAGAGGGTAAAGATGCTGAGTTTTGGGAAATCATGTAACATTGAGATGCTTCTACTTGCAAAAAGTATAAATATTTGTTATGTCTAATGTACCTTATAAGGCTAATGTTAAGGGATATACTAATGATAAGGTTTATTCCTTTTTATTACAATAATGTGTTTTGTCACACTGTCAATATTCTGAAGGAGGTTTTGAGATTTTACTTTGTGGCGTTGGTCACCACTACCCCTAGAAGATCTCAATATTTTTTAGCATTTTAAGATTGAAACTTAAAAAATTTTTTGACATCAAGATCAACAATCATTTAACCTTTTGCTTTCTGATATTCAGATGCATACTTATCAGCATATCGATGCATATGTATCAACATATCGTATCAAGAAGAATGAGGAATCAAAGCTGCTTTAAAGATATGTGCGCAAACAAAATTAGTAGTCAAAATAAATTAGACATCAGTTTAGAATAATAAAATACACAGTGACTTAATGCTATTATTCCAATTTGGATGTGCAATAATTTAGAAAACAACTAAAATAGCTAAGTTCTGTTTCTTGCTTATGAGTTTGAAATTTAAAACTTTCATCAAGTTTGGGATTTAAATGTAAAGCGATTGTGCAAATTTACACAGAAAAACTTAAAAATATTATGGACTGCTTGCAATTTTTGTTTTTATGTAACAATGAAAAAGTAAGACGTAGATTTATGACTAAATTAGCTCATATAAATAAAAAGCAAAAGAAAGATAAAGAAAAAATAAAATTTTTTAGATAAAGAAAAAATTAGTTTTTTCCTTTTAATTTCTTTTTTTAATTTTATAGATTTAAAAAAAAACTTTAATTGAAGCCGAAACATGCGTAAGCAACAGAATATAGATGTTATAGCACATCAAACCTGAAAATATAATTATTAGTCACTTTTACATTCACTGTTAAAATTCTTAATTTTTTTTAATTCACAGAGAAAAAGAAAATATCAAGCCTAAATTCAGCAAATTTTTATTTAATTGCTTTAGAAATACAATTGCATACTTTAAACAATTCATGTATTTAACATTTTTTAGTTGAATTTAAATTAAAAAGATTTTTAGGGACTTTTTTGACTTGAACATTTTCTATTGGATTGACTTCAAAACTCTATCCGAGTGTATTAAATTTTTTTTTTACTTTTAAGAATATTATGATTCGTTATTTTTCTTATTTTTGTTGAACAAGGAGGTTATTTTTTTAGAAAATTGTTTTTAAAATCATTTTTATTAAATTTCGTTAAAAATGTGTCACTTTAATAAGAAACACATTCGAGCAGCAGTTATTTTGTATCATTTCTGCATAAGAAATGCTTAGTTAAGTCAAGTCACTTAGTATATTATATTACATCTATAAAAGTAAAAAGGGGCACATTAATCAGCAAATTATACCAATTGCGAAATTTCATTCAACAAAATGAATTGGTGTTTTGTAAATACTATAACCTAAAACATCTTTTAACTTTCCAAGAAGAATTTTTCTAACTTTCTCAGAAAAGTGTTTTATAAGTTTATTTTTATTGAATGTGCCTTCAGCTTGCATGGATGGACCATCTGTTACAACATATGCCGCCTTTACCGTAACTCTTCCCAAGTTATTCACATTCAAATCCAGCATACTTGGTATGTTATCCTTAACCGTAGTCGTGATTTTGGCACTAAGCCTTGTAGCATCTACTAGAGCAAGTAAGTCAAAATTAGATACTGTATTTCCGTTATGAGATTCAGTCGGAGACAAGAACTTCAACTGTTGCTGAAAGCCAAGAAAGCAGGTGAAAGTTACATTTGTTGACCTCAAAATAGGTTGAGAGCAGTCCTGAATGCGTTTGAGTTCGCCTAAGTGTTCCAAAAAGCCATTTTTGAGTTCTACGTAGTTGTCTTTTTCGTTCGAAATGTACACGTTGTCTATGCGATCGTCCGGAAGAAAGTATGGATCCAAATTGCTGTAGTCTGATTCGAAGAGGAATCTTGTTTCAAGAACGCTGTCGATGTAACTGTTTGAGTCTTCTTTGGTGTAAACAGGTTCACCTAGAATCAAATGCTAAATTTAATGAATAAGTACCGTATGTTCCAAAATTTGACCGAGGATTGGAAAACAAAGATATATTTCTCTATTGGTACCTGTTCACGCCAATTACAATCACCAAAGAACCAAAACGTTTTAGAACTTGATTTTTATTTTTTAAAAATGTGTAATGGCTACCAGAATTATGCTATTCGAATTAATTCTCTTATGTATTGCACTTTTTGTTTCTCGCAGTGCAGAAGTAACTAAAACTCAACAATTAGGCTCAGGTACCGATGTGGAAATCTTCTCCAAAAGTTTTTTTTTTTTTAAAAACTGGAGGATATAAAAATAAATGGTTTGCTGTGTTTTGCAAGTTATTCGAAACAAATTTCAAAATTAGTTACAAAGCTCATCAACATATGGCGCTCCTGATTTTATTTTATTTTATAATTTTATAACCGTCTTTAAACAGCCGACCCAATACTGGGTTTACTACTACCATAAGACAAGAAAGCTCCTGGATCAGTACCCCTCCAGAGGTATTGATTTGTTATGGGAACATCGTGGATTTTGTGAACAGACAGATTTAACGTGCATCAATCACCATTTGCCACACGGGGAGTTTTCGGGCGGCGGGCATCGAAACCACAATCTTTTCGATACGGGCTCAGTGCCCTACCAACCAGGCTATCCCTTTGCTCCTGATTGAAAATTTATGAAACGAAGTTATCTTCTGCATTTCAGACCATTCTATAACGAATATTTGTAACAGGGCAATTCCACGGAAGTGTCAACTTTTAAGTGAAATTTTTTTTTTATGAATTGCATATTTTAATTTTAAAAATATGTTCAAAAATAGCCAAAGTCTACATATTGCCGTTTCATTTTTGATAATTTTAAATTTTTTGAATCAGGCAGCATTCTAAAGTAATCACATGGCTGGCAAGTGAATTGTTCACATTTGTGCTCAAATTATTTTCTTGACAAATACTTATAAAATAAAAGAAATGTATCTTTCTTTTGCAATATTTTGATAAAAATATGCATATAGTACAANTGTCGTACTTTCCTGATAACCACATGGATTTTTTGTTAGTTAAAAATAGTTAAGTAAAAAATGTTACAATTGACCCCACTCTCCCCTACCGGATGTCCCAAAATTTGACCGATGATTGAAAAACAAAGATATATTTCTGTATCGGTACCTTTTCATGCCAATTACAAACGCTGAAGAACCAAGAAGTCTTAGAACTTGATTTTTATTTCTTAAAAATGTGTAATGGCTACCGGAAGTATACTATTCGAATTAATTCCCTTATGTATTGCACTTTTAATTTCTCGCGGCACAGAATTCACTAAAACTCAACGATTAGGCTCAGGTACCTATGCGGAAATCTTCCCTCAAACAATTTTTTTTAAAAAGAACTAGAGGATATAATAATAAATGGTTTGCTGTGTTTTGCAAGCTATTCAAACAAATTTCGAAATTATTTACAAAGTTCATCAACATCCGGCGCTCCTCTGATTTTATTTTATTTTATAGTTTTATAACCGTCCTGGAACAGCTGACCCAATTCTGGGTTTACCACTACCACTGTTCACCTCCGTATCCTTGCAATTTTGATCCCAATCCAGAAGACAAGGAAGCTCCTGGATCAGCCCCCAGAGGTACTGATTTGTTATGTGAACATGGTGGATTTTGTGAACAGACGGTTTTAACGTGCATCAGTCACCATTTGCAACACGGGGAGTTTTCGCCCGGCGGGCATCGAACCCACAATCTTTTCGATATGGGCCCAGTGCCCTACCAACCAGGCTATCCCTTGCTCCTGATAGAAAATTTGTGAAACGAAGTTATCTTCTGCATTTCAGACCATTCTATTACGAATATTTGCACCAGTCACATTTTGTTCTCAGTCAACACCTTGTTGATGCTGTTGTTGTTGTTGTTAATTTACGTCGCACTAGAACTGCACAATGGGCTATTGGCGACGGTCTGGGAAACATCCCGGAGGATGATCCGAAGACATGCCATCACAAATTAGATCCTCTGCGGAGGGGATGGCACCCCCGCTTCGGTAACCCGACGACCTGCGCGCGAAGTCGAGCATTTTACGGTAGCACAGTTTAACGAGGACCCATACCGCACACCCTCGGTCCCTACGCAGACTGATCCAAGTGGTCACCCACCCGCACACTGACCGTAGCCAGTGATGCTTGACCTCGGTGATCTGCTGGGAACCGCGTCTTAACGATCAGTCCACTGCGGGACTACTTTGTTGATGCAAATACAGTTATTGCGAAAACTATGTTTTATATTTCCTCTTAATTGTCAGATCCTTTTGTTGAGGGAATTTTAAACTGATTTTTGCACTACGAGATTTAACGAGTTATTTTTATATATTTTTATTTTTAGTCCCTGCCGATCAGCCTGTGTAGGGGGCAGGGAACTGTCCTTGCATCAGAAAGGTCCTGGGTTCGAATCCCGTTCAAGACATGGATGTTTCTTTCTCTCTATCTGTGTTCTATGTCCTTTCTCCTTTGTGTGTGAATGTGACTCGCCCTATAAGAGGGTTGTTGAAGTGTGGCGTGGGAGACGCTGCTCCACCACCGTGGCTTCGCCACAGGTGCCCACTGGGTAACGAAAAGAGAGTTAGCAGTTTTGGCACTTACTGTGGCCAATGGGCAATAGTTCAATGGACCCACCATTAAAAAAATTTTTTTTAGTCCCTTAGCACTGTGCTCGTCGAGATTAAGTCTCAATAGATTTGACAAGTTTTTTTTTTAAACATAATTTTCCTCCTGCACTTGAAAAATTAGTTAAGAGTTGAAGATGATTTCAGTACATTGCATTATAATATTGTGAAAATATACAAATATACCGCAACCTAAATAAGGAATTGAGTTGCACAATGTGTAATTACAGAGCCGTGGTGGCTCAGGGGATAGAGCTCTCGCATCCAAATAATATTGCCCCGAAATGAGGCTACCCGGGCTTGAATCCCAGCAATCGCTGGTCGATACGAATTTCACACCGACTACAGTTCAGACTTAAAATATCCTCACTGGTAGAAGGATCATGGGTTAAGGTCCCCTTGTTGTTAGGGTAACCGTCGGAGGTTTCTTGGCCTCCCTCGCCATATAAAAAAAATACTGGTTTATTCTATCACAATGTCCCAATGCTTGATCTCGGAGTTCCTTTGTCTTCTAGATTGATTTTAAAATTGCAGGGCTACTGAGTTGAACAGTGATAAACTAAAAATTGGGTCGGCTGTCCAATAACGGTAAAAAATTAAAATAAAATGTGGAACTACAGTATCGCATAATCAAACTAAGGAAATACGATAAAATGTTTAAATTAACACCATATTAAATTTTCAGCAAATACAAACGACATCATGAATCAACTCGCACCATAAATATTAGTAGTTTAATATTTATAATTACCTATTAATGTTTCATCTTCTGTCGTTGTTATTTCAAGTCCCCCGGTGTCTAAATCGAACTTCTCCAGGGAAAATGGCTTTTCTTTCATTCTTTCCTCCGCAAGCCTCCTCATCTGAACTTCAACCAGTTTTTCCGTCAACGCTTTGAAAAACTGACCAATACTGACCTTCGTTGTCTCTTCCATCCATCCCAAAAATTTCATTCCCTCGACCCCAACTGTTATGTTACTAATATAATCAACGTTTAAGCTCTCTAACACAGATTCTTTGCCTTCGGCATCCAAAGAAATCGTTGTACTGACAAGCACCTTTGAAGTGTCTCCTTTCACAGATACGGCTTTGTTGATGTTTATAGCCTTCACGGAGCCTGTGAAATTGAAAAACATCTTTTCGATTTCCAATTTGGCGCTCACTTTTAACCTCCCTTGTTCGAAAGACAGAGAACAGGAGGACACACGATGGAGGTTTCGTAGACCGCTTATGTATCCTTCTGTTAGCTTGGCCTCTCCTTTGAAGTCAATGAACACAACTTTCTTGTGAAATGTTAAAAGACTCTCGTTGATTGGATGAGGGTCGAAATAGTCGCCATTTTCTTCCAGAACTTCCTGGATCATTGAGTCTATGTAATCATTGCAGCTCAAGATGGCTTGTTTGTAACCACCTGCTAAAGTAAGTAAATGATTTGCTGTTACATTGTGTAAATACCAACTAATAACATTATTCATAAAATTGCATCATGTATCATCAACCTAGTTGATTTGTTTCTGAAATTCTATAATTCAGTAGCTCCAAGCGAAGTTGCAGAATTCGAAGCGAGATTTTATTTCTTTTTATTTCTAAGAGGCTGTTTGAGGCAGTGCCATCAAATAAGCAATGGAGATTGCTTAACTTTGGTGATTTGCTAGATTTCTTGACGGAGAGAAGCTACGATCATGAAACAAATTTAGTAGAGTGGTTTAGCGTCAAAATATGAATTTTTTGCATAGGAATGTATGGTATACAGTGGCATGTTAAGGCAAAATAAATAAATAAATAAAATGAAATAAAATAAAAATTACGCTAGAGGAAAAGTATGTTGACTTACTGGACGACTTCATTGTATGGTATGAGTGACCATTGGGGTTGCAAGCATGATCTCGCAAATTTTCAGCATGTTCGACAGTCCTTTCTACTACGGTACCTACCGAGTACGTACTGGTTGCAATTTTGAGCATTTATTGAAAATATTGTATTGCTACAAAAAACCACTTTGTGTGGATTTTGAAAATAAACACATTTTCTCTTGTCATTTTTTTGCGTTCATGCCTTAACACGTCACATCCCATATTCGTATACAAAAAATACAAGTTTTAGTACGCTACACCACCATTGCAAGTTTGTCTTATGATCGTCGAAACATCTCCAATATTTCCTAAATTTAATTATTTTTAGTATTTTTCAAAACCCTTAAAGTAATTTTGGCAGAACAAAAAAACGTGTTCAACATATTGTTCAACATATAGAATGCGACGAAAAATGCTTACATATTAAGAAACATTATCATCGTAGTTTGGAAAACATTCCATCCTTACGTTCCAGAATCTACGTATAACAACGCCATCTGCCGCTTCTTTCTTTAGTGAGGATTCTACGATGAATTTAAATTCTTGCATTTTTGATCCTTGTGCTTAAAGATGGATATTTTAATGGAATTATGTATCTACATGTTATATACTTAAATAGTTAATGTAAATTTTTACATATGGGGTTTATAATGAATTACTTTCAGTAAATACATAAAAATTATCCAAATATTTTTCCCCAACCGCTAAAACACTAATAGTGAGCAGTGCTATAATGTGTCCAAATTTAATGCGTCCATTTTCATGTGCCTTATAATTTGTATAGTAAGTCTAAACAAAGTGGTCTGAAATGAGGATTTAAATATGAAAAAACGTCAAGATCTGTCGATTTAGAACAGTTATTTATAACAGATAATTTTTTAAAAGTAACCGTTACATTTCATCTGTGGAATATAAGGAGAACGAAAAAATATCTAAAATTAATAATTATATTTTAAACAAATTCGACTTATAATTTTACTTACTTTTGCTGGAGTCGACAATTGTTGGACTCAAATAGAAAATGGACAGCAAAAGGCAAAGTATCTTCATAATTGGCTGAATTCTGAAAAAATAAATAAATTATTAGATTTTAAATTCAAAGCTTCTGTAATGTGAAATATTTTAGCAATTTTTTGAAATTTTTTACATCAGGCAAAAGTCACTCCATTAATGATTTAAGGTCGCTTTCAAAGTATTGTAAATGTGTTCTAAATATGCAATTCATTAAAAAGGACGTTCGCTAATTGCGCAAAATTTTGAACTAATTTTTCATCAGCTCGAACGAAATTTCATTTCTTCTTTATATTAAAATTGCATATTTTTCTGAGCAATGTTTTTGGTTATAGACAAATTTAACGTAATGTTGTTTAGTTACGTAAGCAAGGTTAAATTTAACAAAGTTCAGATAAATAAAATTTAATTATTTTAAAGTGCTGTACCAGAAAGTACACTAAAAATCCTTCATTCCCGATTATTTCGGATCTTAAGTCATTTTTCTTCTTGTTTTACACGTGTTCTTTGTTTGAAAAAACAACTTTGGATAAAAGAGTAACTTTTCTCAACTAAATTTCGTTAAGAACCGATAAGTAAAGATAAAAAATTTAAAGCAATGGAATTAGCATTTTAAATTATATGCGTAATGCTGTTTTTTTAATTTTTTTAAATTTTTGTTAAATTTTTTTTTTAAATTAACAAAAACAGGTTTGGATGTTATTAAAATTTTTTTTAAACAAAAATGACGTATAAGCTGAGATATTTTCATAAAAATCCAAAAACAAACTTATTCTTAATTAACTTTTCTTAAAATGCAATGTGCAGATTCGGATTTGTTTAATTTTGTCAACAAAAAGTTTTGAAAAAACTCCGAACATAACGCTTCTTATATCTGATTGGTTTCAAGTTCGACAGTGCCATAATATTATCAGTAAACCAGTAAGAGTTTTTATCAGCATTATCAGTATTAGTATTATCAATTTTGAAAAATACTACCAGTAACAGTAAATATAAATCATCAGGTTAATTACGATCATTAAATAAGGAAATTGAAATCATATTTAACATTTTACACTTTGTTTACGATGGTTGAGTTTATCATTAATGTATTTATAGAATAAATATTATTGTATTAATAGTATTGTATAAATAGTATTGTATCAATAGTACTATATTAATAGTACTGCATAAATAGTATTGTATCAATAGTATTGTATAAATAGTATTGTATGAATAGTATTATATTAATAGTATTGTACAAATAGTATTGTATAAATAGTATTGTTTAAAAAGCATTGTATCAATAGTATTGCATTAATAGTATTGTGTTAATATTATTGTACGAATAGTATTCTATAAATAGTGTTGTATAAATAGTATTGTATTAATAGTACTGTATTATTAGTGTAGTATTAATAGTAATGTGTAAATAGTATTGTATGAATAATATTATTTATAAATTGTATTGTATTAATAATACTATTTTAATAATACATTTTAATAATACTATTTTAATGGTACTGCATAAATAGTATTGTATAAATAGTATTGTATGACCAGTATTGTATAAATAGTATTGCATCAATAGTATTGTATAAATATTATTGTATTAATAGTATTATATTAATAGTATTGTATCAATAGTACTATATTAATAGTACTGCAAAAATAGTATTGTATAAATAGTATTGTATTAATAGTATTATATTAATAGTATTGTTTAAATAGTATTGTATCAATAGTACTATATTAATAGTTCTGCATAAATAGTATTGTATAAATAGTATTGTATTAATAGTATTATATTAATAGTATTGTTTAAATAGTATTGTATCAATAGTACTATATTAATAGTTCTGCATAAATAGTATTGTATAAATAGTATTGTATGAATAGTATTATATTAATAGTATTGTACAAATAGTATTGTATAAATAGTATTGTTTAAAAAGCATTGTATCAATAGTATTGCATTAATAGTATTGTGTTAATATTATTGTACGAAAAGTATTCTATAAATAGTGTTGTATAAATAGTATTGTATTAATAGTACTGTATTATTAGTACTGCATTAACAGTGTAGTATTAATAGTAATGTATAAATAGTATTGTATGAATAATATTATTTATAAATTGTATTGTAATTTATAAATTGTATTGTATTAATAATACTATTTTAATAATGCATTTTAATAATACTATTTTAATGGTACTGCATAAATAGTATTGTATAAATAGTATTGTATAAATAGTATTGTATGACTAGTATTGTATAAATAGTATTGTATCAATATTGTATTAATAGTATTGTATTATTAGCATTGTATAAATAGTATTATATTAATTTGGATAGATAATATTTGAAATTTAAATTTGTTCTATAAAAGGAGGAACAAAAGGCAAGAACTAGGACATAAACTTACCTATATTACTTCAAAAAGTAAATTTCTGTTAAATCTCAGGCTAAAATCAACTATCGGTATTTGCGTGCGATTAAACATCTGTTGTCATGAAGATATGAATGTGCAACTTATTTATAAAAGTTATAGGAATTTCAACAGATTATATAAGTTTCCTTAAACTGGAAGATTGGAAAAGGATACAAGTCGAGTGATAACTATCGAAATTAGATTTTGTTTATTGTGTTAAAAATAATTCTTCCACTTATAAGAAATGTATGAAATGAAAAAAAAAAACTTTTTTTCTCACTCGTACTAAAATTAAAAGGAAAATTTGCAAATGAATATTTCATTGGCTAACAAACCATGCTTTCAAGAAAAAATAAAATAATGTCATTTAGTTACCTTTTAAAAATTACTTGGAAATGAAAACTTTCATTTTTAATTATATAATATCCTCTAGAAAGAAGGACATTTTCCATTAGAAGTTGGGTTCTTTTTACAGAACGAATATTTTTTTACAACAAAACAAAAGAGAAGAATTTCCATATAAAATGGATATTTTTCACTATAAAATTGATACGTCTCGCTACAAAACGATTATTTTTGGAAAATGAATACTCTCCATTATGAAAAGGATATTTTTCGATGAAATTCAATACTTTTCACAAAGAAATGGATATTTCACACAAGAAAATGAATTATTTATATTATAAAAGAGATATTTTTCACAAGAAAGCAGTAACTTTTTATTATGGGGATTTTCGGAAAGTAATTTCGTTTTTACCCTACAGAGGACTAAAATGTATTCTTTCACAACCAAGTTCACATTTAATCCGCATACTCATTGTTTATTTCGACAGTTAGTATAGCAAGTCTTGATTATAAGAAAGATTGATTGATTTGTCGAAAGTGGTTTTTGGTTAGTGCCCTTTCAAATATTAATATATTTTTTTTTACAATCGAAGAGGTAAAATGAATGTCCTAGCCATAATGCAAAAAAAGATGCATCAACAGTTAACAGTGCGCCAATGCCTAATCTGGATTGGCTTGCAAAATTTCAATCCGGAAATTTTGGCGTTGAAGATGAACCACATTCTTGAAGGTCAGAGGAAGTTGATGAAGACACAATTCGTTGATGCAAACTGGTAAATAACAGCTCTGAAAGATCTCTCATAGATATAATTTATCGAATTTCACCGTTCATGATAATTTGAAACTCTTAGGTGTAATCTCAAAGCTCGGCATGCAGGTTCCTCATATTCTTACGAAAAGAAATTTGTGCCCTCGCTTTGAAGTCTATGATTTGTTTCTCAAACGTCAAGAAAACGATTCATTTTTGAAGTTGAATTTGATGAAGACACAATAAAGGAATTCTTTGATGCAAACTGGTAAATAACTACCCGGGAGATAGCTCATCATTCTTAGGGGAACAATGGGTCATACAACAAAATGTGCATTTTTTTGTTTTAAAAAATACATTTTTGCTTGCTATCTGTACACACAAACAATACCTTAAGAAATAAAATTTGTAAAAGAATTTTAATATTTATTATAATAATTTAAAAACTATTTAAATTGCCCATAAATACAAATGGCTATTACTTTTTAAAAAAATAATTTCATTTTCACTTTCAATCGTTCTGATCACAAAACCGATTGAAAAAATGTTGCATAGAACGTTTTTAAAAATACAGCGGGGCGAATAGCGATAAAGACAAGAAATAAAATTCACGACCCTTGTGAGGACTAAAATATCGGATATTCTTTTTAGAATTTTTTAAATAAAGCAATATTTTCATTATTTCCTCTAAAATAAGCATTAAAAATCTGAAATAAAATATTACTCGTGAGAACATTAAATAACAACAATTTTTAAATCTTTTTGAAGTTTATTTAAAAAAAAAAGCTTACTTCTTTAAATACTAAACTTTGATTGATAAAAAAATATGTTAATTGGCAAACAAATACGGCAAGTTTCCTAATTGCAAAGTCTGAACTTTTTTTTTTGTTTCATAGAATTATTTTTAATTCATTTAAAATTTCTCCGATTCTTGACGATAAGAGTCATACAATTCTTTTTAAGAACAGTTGCTTTATCACACGGGAAATCGAACAGTTGCTTATATTCTTTGATTTAATTCTCCAATTTCTAATTTTGGCGTTGCATTGATTTAAACGACAGAGGTAAGTTTTTTTTTTGGCAAACTTTTATTTTATTTTAACTTATTTTACGGTGTTTCAAATTCTTAACTGACATTGATATTTATTATAAAGAGACAAAGTAGCAGAAAAATAGGAAAAAAATGTGTAGAATGTAATTGTATAAGAATAATTGAAATAAATAAATTACAGAATGAAATTAATGACGTGATGTTAATATAAAATGTATTGGATGTAAATAAGTTATGATAAAATAAATAAATTACTAAATTAAATTAATGGCATGATGTAAATAAATGATAATAATAAGTGTATAGGATGTAGATAAGTTTAAATTAAAACAATTAACTAAATTTAAGAATAAAATTAATAAGATTTAAATAAATAAAAATAAAATTATGTGTTGAGTGTTTATAAGTTATAATAAATCGAAGTAAATGAATTACAGAATTCAATTAATGACAAGATGTAAGTAAATAATAAAAAAATGTGTTGAATGCAGATAAGTCATGATAAAATAAATAAATTAGAGAATTAAATTGAAAACACGATGCAAGTAAGTTTCAGTAAAACACTGTATGAAATGCGAAAAAGTTAAAAGTAGAAATAAATAAATAAATTGCGGAATTACATAAGCAAGATGTAAATAATTAATAATAAATTAGTGTGTAGAATATAATTAAATGATGTATGGAATATAAGAGTGAATTGAAGCAAGTAAATAAATAACCGAATAAAATTAATAACAAGATGCAAATAAGTAAAAATAAAATCATGTTAGAATTTTAGTAAATAATAATGAAAATAAATAAATAAATTACAGAATTATATTAACAATTTGTAAATAATTCATAATAAACTAATATATAGAACGTAGAAATATACTAATTAAAACAAACAAATAAATTATAGAATAAAGTTGAAAACATGAGGAAAGTAAGTACAAATAAATTACAGTACGGAATGGTAATAAGTAGTAATAAAAATAAATAAATAAATTACAGAACTAATCTTAAGCAGAATTATTAAATAGCAATGAATGTTGTGCTTTTCATCACTTTAAACAACATTATTAAATAGCAATGAATGTTGTGCTTTTCATCACTTTAAACAACAACGAAAAAAACTTTTTTGTCAAAAATAATAGATTTTGTCACAGTTTTAGAATTATTAATTCTAAGTAATTCTATTTAATAATTACTAGCAGAATTATTAAATAGCAATGAATGTTGTGCTTTTCATCACTTTAAACAACAAAAAAAAAAACTTTTTTGTCAAAAATAATAGATTTTGTCACAGTTTTAGAATTATTAATTCTAAGTAATTCTATTTAATAATTACTAGCAGAATTATTAAATAGCAATGAATGTTGTGCTTTTCATCACTTTAAACAACAACAAAAAAAAACTTTTTTGTCAAAAATAATAGATTTTGTCACAGTTTTAGAATTATTAATTCTAAGTAATTCTATTTAATAATTACTAGCAGAATTATTAAATAGCAATGAATGTTGTGCTTTTCATCACTTTAAACAACAACAAAAAAAAACTTTTTTGTCAAAAATAATAGATTTTGTCACAGTTTTAGAATTATTAATTCTAAGTAATTCTATTTAATAATTACTAGCAGAATTATTAAATAGCAATGAATGTTGTGCTTTTCATCACTTTAAACAACAACCAAAAAAATTTGTTTTGTCAAAAATAATAGATTTAGTCAAAGTTTTAACGGTTTAATGTTACAGTTAAGTTTACATTTTAAACAGTAGCAACGGTCTGCTGCAAAATGCTGACTTAATTTAATAATTGACGAATATTTTAAATATTAAAAAAAATATTAAGGGAAAGGGACGTCTTGAACAACTGTTTTATTTATTGATAAAATTTCATGTATGAGGTACCGTAGATTAGTAACAATATTATACACTTCACTGCGCAGTTGCATAATTAAATGTAAATAATTAAGATTAAATTTGTGAAAGGTTTCTAAGGAGCAAAGGTAGCTATCAAATTTTATCTTCACTCTTTTACTAATATACTTTATTTTTAGAATTTCAACAAAAGATGATAATCTATTATACATTATACGTTTTTTATACCTATTTTGATAACGTTTTATTAACGTTTTGATAACGTTTAACTAGTCTGATTAACGTTTGCTCTGTATACTTTCAATTAACAAGCATTTAGAATAAGCAAATACATATCTTCGTAGGGCTAGTGTTGATACATGGTGGTGGGGACAGTGCGGAATTATTTACATTGGCCCCATTCAACTTCTAATGGAGGGGTATGAATTATTTACAAATGTAACACATTTGATCATACCCATGTAGCTTGATACGTAAAATAAACGTAAATTTTTGGGAAATTGGTAAAATCAATATGCTACGTAAAATAATACGTAAATTTTACGTAATATTGACGGAATAGATTTTACAAGCTACCCTTCAGTAAAATTGCTTTCGTATATTTTACGAAAGACAGAAAAAGAAAATTTACTGCATATTTTGATTTAGTTAAAATGCTTCTATGTATTTTACGTATTAATGACGCGGTAAATTTAACATTTAAAGGTTAGTAATATAGCTTTCGTACATTTTATGTAATAATGCTGAAGTATATTTTACCATTCAGATTTTGGTAAAAAGCTTCCGTATGTTGTATGTAATATTGACAAAATAAATTTACCATTTTGTTTCGGGAAGAACATTTTGGTATATTTTACGAAAGATAGACGAAAAAAAGTTACTATTTAGATTTAGTAAAAATGCTTCTGTGTTTTTTACGTATTTTTGACGAAGCAAATTAAATTTTGGTAGGAAAGCTTTCGTGCATTTTACGTTATAATATTGACGTATATTTTAATATTTTGATTTTGGTAAAAAGCTTCCGTATGTTGTACGTAACATTGACGAAACAAACTAACCATTTTATTTCGGTAAGAACATTTCGGTATATTTTACGAAAGATTGACGAAAAAAATTTACTGTTTAGATTTAGTAAAAATGCTTCGGTTTATTTCACGTATTATTGAAAAGGCAAATTCCCCATTTAAATTTCGGTAAAAAATTTTTCATATATTTTAATGCAATAATTTTGATAAATCAGAATGATTTTGTAGAATGATATGCCTTTGCAATTAGTGTTTTCATTATTAAGTAAAATACTTAGAATATTAAAACCTATATATTAATATATTAATTCATCCTTTAAAGGTTTTAAGAAACTATAAGGGAGACGTTTTATCAAGTTTTTTCAAAATAATATAATTCAAAAAAGAGATGAATTAATTTTTGCTACCCATTCAACTAGCACAGAATATCAGAGAACTGTACCGTGTTCTCTTTTATGAATTGTTTCCATTATTCCAGAGAGGGATATATCGCTAAGCAACGCATTTCGTCTATTCTATTCATTTCATCTTAATATTAAAACTATGATTGCTAAAATTGATTAAATTTAAAATTGGTTTCATGCTATCAAATAAATCAAATTTAATAATGATTTTCAAATGAATTGATATGCGTTCAAAGTGTCTTAGTATAATGAAATTCTCTATTACAAAATAGTATTTTAATAAATATATGGCAATATTTATTCTCCTGTAAAGTTTAGATTGAAATTGATTTTATTTCAGCTTTATATATACTTTTATGAGTTTAAAATAAATTGCAACTTAATAAGTTACTAAGTTTTTTTACACTTAGCCCATAGCTTGTCCACATTATTCCGGTGTAATAGGCTAGTGTGGGCAAAAAGCGACTTTTTAATTTATTATTATTGAAAACAAAACAGCTTTGTTATTCCAGATATAAATCTGAATGCAGATACTAGTTTAAATTTATGTAAAATTTTTTTTTCATGACTTGAAAATTATATTAAATGAAGATTTTAGATAAATTTGTAAGAAATGACTACACCAGCTTTCTTTCTCCAATATATTTTTTTTAAATAATATATCTAATTTAACTAGATATTTCCCTTTAAATGAAAATTTTAAAAATCAATAAGTATTTCTCAAACATTAAAAAGATAGATTATAAACGTTTTTAATTCCGTAAAAATGTGTTTTTTTTCATCACATTTTTAAAAGCATAGAAGACTCTGGCTAAAAAAGAAAAACAAAAGTAAACCTAGAAGTCATGAATAAATGTTACAATCTTACAACAGACAGAAAACTTGCATATTATTTGCTAATAAGTGTTCTTCATTTTCATTCAGGAATCACTTTGCTACTTAAGAAAACTTCTCAAAATGTCAATAAATAAATAAAGAAATTACTGTTATAAGAAAATTATAGCGTTAGTGATTAAAAAATACTCCAGAAACGCTTTTCTTTTTCTTAAAACTTTTATTTCTTTATTTTGACATTTTGTGCCAAAAGCAAAGATGGCACTGAATAAAGATTAAGAACACCTAACTGTCATGAAAAACTGTTACTATCTTACAAAAGTTATAAAAATTGCACATAATACACGTAGTAAGCAGGAAAATGATTGTTTCCGTGTCTTATTTTTTTTAAAATATTTTTTTTAAATAAATATTTCTAGTTTTCTGATTCGTATTTTTTAGAGTGAGCAGCCATGAAGCTTCCTTTCCTTTTGTTGTCCATTTTCTATTTAGTTGCGACTGTTGTCAACTCTCGCAAAAGTAAGTCAAATTACCAAAATATTGCTTCTTTTTAACTGTTTTGCTATTGGATCAGTTTTGCTACACAGAGCTTTTGGAGTCCACTTCAAGCTGTTTTAACGATACTGTTCGAAAACAAACTGAAAAGTTGAATCGGTTTTTATCTCAACATAAAAGTGGAGACATTCTTTCCTTCCTTTTTTGTTACAAATAAAATTTTTTGAATAGAATTCAAATGTTTTGAAAAGAAAACTTTTCACTTTAATACAAAGTATCTTCCAACGCTGCACTGACAATATTTTTTGTCTCCTTTTCATCAAAATAAAAATTCGTATAAAATATATATTTGGGATTTGAGAGTTTTATTGGTCTATTTTAACTAAAATGACCAAATCGCAATGTTGCCTAAATTTGTAAAAATCTTGAATTGTATTTTAGAATTCTTTAGGATTTAAATTTTTTTATAGTTTGTTTTTCTGATAGAATTATTTCAAATACTGATAAAAGAATTATTATTTAATTAAAATAATGATGTCACAGGAAAATTACGAACTCAATCATTCCAAAACTCAACCGTTTAACTATAAAATTCTCAAAAGTCGAAGAAATTTGGAGAGTGCTCCAAAAGCTCCGTGTTGTGTAACTAAGCCATTATATAACTATTTACTTAGTTCTAGAACTGCCCATTATTTTTAAAGAAAATTATTCGTATTGTGAGAAACAAAAATATGTGGTCCAAAATGACAGGCTTTAACATTTCATATCAGCTGAAAGTTTTTATTTTGTTTGATTATGATGATGAATACATTCGGAACTGTTCTGTTTCGACCAACTTTTTTAATGGTTTTTAATAAAATTAAAATCTCTTTCTTTCAGAGGTTTTTATTGGCTGAAATGTAACGGAATTCAATTTTCGTTAATTAGATTAGAACAGGAACAATCACATAAGAATCAAACCATGGTGTTAAGAAACTCAATTCCATTTTTAACATTCAGATCTTTCGAAACATTGCTAAAAGTAGCGTAAATAATCAAATAGTAGATCATCCAACTTAGAAATGAAATAATCAATAGATCATTCCATCAATCAATCATAACAGGAATAGATTTAAGATCATGCTATCTAAGAATCAAATTAACCTATGATTTAACCTATTAACCTATGAATTAACCTATTCATCTATCAACTAAATCACACTATAATTAGATTAGAACAGGAACAATCACATAAGAATCAAACCATGGTGTTAAGAAACTCAATTCTATTTTTAACATTCAGATCTTTCGAAACATTGCTAAAAGTAGTGTAAGTAATCAAATAATAGATCATCCAACTTAGAAATGAAATAATCAATCGATCATTCCATCAGTCGATCATAACAAGAATAGATTTAAGATCATACTATCTAAGAATCAACCTATGGAAGAATTAACTTATTCATCTATCAACTAAATCACTCTATAATTAGATTAGAAGAAGAACAATCACATAAGAATCAAACCACTGCGTTAAGAAACTCAATTCAATTTGTTCCATTCATAGTTGCTAAAAAATAGTGTAAATTATCAAATAATAGATCACCCAACTTGGAAATGAAATAATCAATCAATCAATTCCAATAATCAAAAATCAACTTAAGATCAGCCTATCTAAGAATCAACCTATCAAAGAACTTAATCTATCAATTAAATCAGCCTATAAATGGAATTAAATTTTTTTATTCTTCAATCCCATCTAGATTACCAGTAAAAAAAACATATTGGATTCAGAACTCTCCCCTCCCACCGAATAGCCCCAAAACATTTCCTAAAACATATCACCTGACTCCAATATGTTTCCTAAAATAATTCCGGAATACGTAACTGATCCAAACGAAAAAGTTCCAAATTATGTGTTACGTAAATTGTTAGATAGCATTCTTCCTTCCGCTCTCGTGTTTTTATTATTTCTATAATGAAAAATACCTTTTTCTCTTAAATTATCTCCAAACAGTCAGGCACCACTTATTACGGAAACTCTTTGTAGTAACAGATTCTGTTAATAAGTGTAAACTTAAATTTTCGTTCCAGGCAAAAACTATCGTTCGTGAAAAGAGCGTTACATACATCATAAATACTTCCAGTTGATCACATATCTGAAGTAATTATTATGTTCTATGCTTTTTTTTACAGTGAAAAATCAAGTCGTAGCATTATCGGAAAATTGACAATGCTACACAATTTGCACAGCATTGTCTGTTCTTAATTCTATTGCTCTTCAGTGTGCCCATTGATTTAAATTTCCAGCACTTTTTGCTTCCTTCAGAACTATGTTGTTCATAAATGTCATGCACCTATGATTCACTTTGTAAACAATAAGATTTTAAAGTATGGCAACACTGGGGAACACATTTTTTGTTGCATTTATACATACATATCTTGCCTAATTTGGGTGTTGGGATTTCAAATCTGAAATTAGTTTTGCCCCTAAAGCTGCAGATATTTTTTTTAAATATCAATTTTAGTCTATTTTGTATGGAAATGTGCAAATTTAAAAGGATACAAAAAGAGATCGCATAAATGGTGCAACAAACTTCTTGCGGGGTAAATTCATATCATCAGTATTAAAATTGCATCGAAACTCATGTCCGAATATGTTAGCTCTCTCTGTCAGGAGACTCTGTCCTATTTCTCTGACTTATTTAGAAGCACACAAAGAAACAATTCTTAATAGGAAAAAGCCTCTAGAGGTGTGTGAAAAAGGTAGCTATCGACAATGTCAACCTTCATCTATGAATATGTACCCCACTTAGAATCTAGTCAACATGTTTTATATACTAGTGAATTGGAATTGTACTTTTGTAGTGGTAGATGCACTACAGGTGTGTGACGACATTTCCATGTATAGGGTAAACCAACCAGTGAAGGAACACTACCCAGTGAAGGAACATTTCATATATATTCATTAAAAATAAGAATTTGAAAGTTTTTCTTTAGATTGATTGGTAACAATAGCTTACTGCCAAACAATAGGAAGTCATCTAGCAATGTTTTGGATTACCTGGTCAAATAGAATTTTCTGGAAAATTTTTTGTATTTGTTATTATCTCTGCAACACCTTGTTTCTTTGAAAAAATTATAAGGTGAGTGTTTGTATTTATATGTTTGAAGTG